ACCTTTCATTTTTTCCCTTGGCATCACTGGTGCCCAGCAGCCCACCTCCCTCACCCAAATCCCAAACAACTGTTGCATTTTCTACCTATCCTCAATTTAGCAACTGTCACCATAATCAATCTTACTCAGTAAAGCCACTACCCAAGAAATAAAACTTTCAGCTGCCTGTATCCCATCCTGCCTAAGTCACAAAATCAGGGTGGTGATGTGGCAGAGTAACTAGCAACGAACTGACTATGGGTGGAGATCTGCCAACTGTGTCAGTTTCTCGGAAAGCTATTTTACTTTATGGAAAAAATCTGGGTCCTGCACGCCAGGAACCCCAGCAAAGTAACCAATATAGATTTACTGAGCACCTACAATGGCTGAAGTCAATGGTTCTCAACCGTGGTTGTGTTTTGACATCAGAGCTCCCAACCCAGATATGAATATGCTTTAATGCTAAGTTCTAATACAAAACAAGTTTGATGCACTAAAGGAATACAAAAGAAGTACAAGACACAGTTCCTGTCTTGAAGAGCTTATCCACAATCACAACAGAGTAACGTGAAATAGGATATTAGTCCACCAATTGGAATCCTTTTACAATACTAGCAGCACTTATGAAATAGAAGAAACTGGGGTAGTCGGGACAAGAACTGCTCCTATTGCCTAGTTCCACTCATACACCCAAATCTACCTGCAATTCCTGATACGTTGTTCTGCACCCCTTCAACCTCCCAGTGAACGTACCATTCTCAGGAACTATGGAGAGACCCCAAATAGAAAGATGAATGAGGACCACAAAAAAAGCCTAGGCTACTGGATATCCTGATGGCCAGAATCTCTCAAATTCTTTAAGTAGGCTTCACGCCCAGCACACAGCCCAAACTCATGACCCTGAGATCAAGACCTGAGCTGAGATCAAGAGTAGGAGGCTAAGCCAACTGAGCCACCCAGGCACCCCATGGAGCTTCTTTTAAAGAGAAGAAATAATGCTTGAACCTCCAACAACACCAAACACCTCACTCTACAGCTGAAGTGTCCAAAAAGAATAAGGAACAGAGTTTTTATAATTTTCTCCTAGAGGTCCTTGGCCATTTAAAGAAATGATCCAAAATCATAAGGCTGGTAAATTCAAATTTCTCATATAGCACATGCTTAAAATAAACATATTCTAAATTAAAAATATATTTTAGTAAACTCCTTACCAAGATGTTCAAATTATGGAAGCTTTAAAAATAAAAAAATAAAAAAAAAATACTGCTGGATAAACTCTACTCCCAAAGTGGGGCTTGAACTCACACCCCCAAGATCAAGAGTCACATGCTCTCTCCCAGGCAGCCAGGCTCCTGAAAGAATAAAAATTTTTCTGTCAGTAGAGTAGGTGACTCTTGATCTTCAAGTCATGAATTCAAGCCCCATGTTGAATGCAGAGCTTACTTAAAAAAATTAACCTAATTCCTACTCAGCAGTGATGACCTCTTACTAAAGACTACCCTGAAGAGAGCATGAGCTTTAAACTCTGCAAATATGAATATACAGATCTTCACCTAAGTAGTCTTTCTCTGAATGATACAGAAAAAGGTACAATTCTCTCTCCCTCTTTTTTTTTTTTTTTTTAATTTTATTTATTTTGAGAGAGAAAGCACATGCAGGGGAGAGGCAGAAAGAGAATCCCAAGCTGGCTCCACACTGTCAGTGCAGAACCCAACCTGCGGCTCAAACTCACCAAACTGTGAGATCATGACCTGAGCCGAAATCAAGGGTTGGACCCTCAACCAACTGAGCCACCCAGGTGCCCCAAAGGTACAATTCTCTTAACTGATACACAAAAACTGATAAGCACAACACCCCATAAATTACTCTTTTAGATGGGGTGCCTGGGTGGCCCAGTCAGTTAAGCACTGGACTCAGTTTAGGCTCAGGTCATGATCTCAGAGCTGTGAGATCAAACCCAACATCAGGCTCCAAACTGGGCAAAGAGCCTCCTTAAGATTCTCTCTCTCAAAAAAAAAAAAAAAAAAAGGGTAGGTGTCATTCAAACATCTCAAACAGGGATCAATGGGGGTATTAAGATAAATGTTGGTACTTAGGGGGAAATGTACATTAGTATGTATTAATTAGAATAAGAATATTACATGAAAAAAGCACATGGACAAAAAATGTCTTCTGTGTACTACTCCTTTTAGGACCCATGGCTTTGAAATTAGTTTGGCTTACAATATTTTTCCTTGTAATTGTCCTTGTCATCGTATAAATTTTATCCACACAGGTCCACAATCCCTTAACTTCAATTCCAAAATCTAAACAAGTTTTTTCATTATTCATTTGGTGGCAAAACCTGACATGAAAATGACATGAGGCTATTTATACTATTTATTTATACCAGTTGGTGTGAATGTTCTGACATTTTACTACAGAAATGGTAGTGTGTTTGATTACAAGGTACTGCCCCAGGCCTCTCTGGGACGTTACATAACACACAGTACATGTACCATATTCCTTTTCTAAGATCCCCAAAATTCTAAATTCAAAAAAAAATCTGGCCCCAAGAATTTTTTTAAGTTTATTTATTTGAGAGAGCACAAGAACATGCGAGCAGGAAAGAGACAGAGAAAGAGGGAGAGAGAATCCCAAGCAGGCTCTTCACTGTCAGCACAGAGCCCCGTGCAGTGAGATCATGACCTGAGCCAAAATCGAGTAGGACTCCTTGCCGGACACCTAGCCGACTGAGGCACCAGGCGCCCCCAGGAAATTTTTTTGACCCCAAGGTACTATGGACTGATATGCTAATTTAGGACTGAGTCTTATACAGAAAATATAACTAATACAAAAAATGAAGGTAGATCTTTACATACAATAAATTCACTGCCTTAACATCTATTCACACATACATAATCCCGTAACACAAAGCATTAAAAATACTTTAACAAATGTCAAAACTTGAACACGCCATTATGTGTTTTCGCAAGTGGTGGTGATATTTACACCATTCAGTATTTAGTTCAATTCTTCTTAGGGTGAAATTCACTAATTTACAGCACAGTTTAGACAGACCAAAAGACTGCAATTAGTAATTAAGTTGAGTAAAAGAATCATCCCCTGATAAATAATGCGCTCGGTAAAATGTTCTGAGAAATTTATCTCAGAGGGTTTCAGATTTAAAATTATGTTATTCTAGAATCCGATTTATCAACTTTGAACAAATGACAATTGACTTTTTCTGTGAAAGCAGCTCCTTGGGCAGGGACAGCTCTTAAGGATATTTGAACTGGAAGAAGAGTTTCACAGTTCTTTCCTTCCTTCCCCCTTCAGTTGCTGCTTTTCTGGTTTTAGAATTTCAAACAAAGAAATACATATTGGCTCCACTGCTAAGAAACGCCCTCTTTCTCAGCAACTTCCTCTTCCAATTTTCTTCCCTACCATTGACATATGAGAACAATACACACTGCCGGTCCTACCATTTTGATTAACCAAAAGCTGAAGCTTGGGAAAATGAAGGGCTAGAATTTATAGTATCCAACTACTAGTCTCTCATTCCAGGTCCACAATCTTCACTCATCTAGAAGTCAGATAACAGAGAACACAAAGAAAGTAAGGAACATTATGTTTCACGAGAGGCGGGCTACTGAAACTTCCGTCTCAAGAATCCAAGGAAATGTGAACAAACGGGAAATTTCTCTTATCCCAAGAAAATGCTGCCTTCTTAGCTGAGGAGGAGAAAAAGTTACCAGGGTGGCACACCTCTGAACCAAGATTCAAGTCTATACACCAACTGTTGGTGAACTTCTACAGGCCACCCAGTCAGCATTCAAACTGAGTTCTTTAGTTCTGAGGCACTTCAAAATGACTTTTACAATTTACAATTTAGAAATGGTCTTTTCCAACTCACAGACTGCAGAAGGGCATGGATTAGCCATCCAGGGATCAAGACCCAGCCTGTCTCCAAGCCAGAAGTCAACTGAAGTTGTCTGGGACCGGACCCCTCCCTCTATTTGTGACAAAGCAAACTTCTTTTAAGTGGACAGTGACTTCCCCCTTGCCCAGGGATTCTCCAACACCTGCTGGTTGATACCTTACTGCGTGACCTTGGACAAGTTACTTAATTCCTCTGAAACTTAGTTTCTGTATGTGCAAATGCTCAACAGTGGCTGTAAAAATTAAATAACATAAGCCTGAACAAGGGCTGACACATAGTAGGGGCGCCATTCACGATCTCCATCCTACTCCTAACACCCCCGAATTCTTCTGGGCCTAAATTTCAATCATTGCCCCAAGAGGCTCCAAGGATGCCTTCCTCTCCTCGGATAAGCACCAGTGTGTAAAATTTCACCATCTCAGAGGTTCTAAGATCCTGGAGAACCAAGATAACCCCGGACCCCACCTTATCATAGCGCGGGGTCCATCCAGGGACTTCGTGGAAGAGCCCCGTTAGCCAACTGTCCTCCGTACCCTACAGAACCACCCTGTACACACAAACACACGCACACGCACATGCACACAGTTCCCCCTTCAACTTAGGCCAAGGGTCTCCAAGAGCACCTCAATTCTTTCATCACCCAGAGACGGAAACTGAAGCCCCGCCTGGGAAAGAACTTGCCCACGACAATCAGCCAACATCTGAGATCCAACTCATGTACAACTGCCTGCACAGCCTTCGTTTCACAAATAGGTAAACTGAGGCCAAGAGAAGGAAGTGACTTGCCCAAGGTGACACAGCGAGTTGGTGGCAGCGCCAGGTCAGGCTGGGGGCACTTTCGCAGCCTCACGGATTCGCGGGCCCCTCCAAGGCTCCGAGGGGATTTCCAGGACACCTCCTCCCTGGGGAGGGGACTGAAGAGTAAGACGCTACCCCACGCTGACCGCTCGCCCGGCCACTGCCGGTCCGCGGCAAGAGGCGAGCCACCTACTCCCTCGGGACCCTGCGAGGCTCGCGGCGGGGAGGTGGGGGGAGGGTGGCGGCGCGGCTCGGCCCGGCGCCTCACGGCGGAGCCCGCCCGCGGGGACTTGTTGCTCACCTGGCGTCGCGCGGTCGCCCTCAGCAACAGAAAGGCCGGCCAGCCGACCTTCTCCGCACGGGGTCTGTTCCCGCTGGCCGCCTCCCTGGGCGCCACCCAGCCAGACCCCCCTCAGCGCACTACGCCCCCAGCCGCGCTCGCCCGGCCCGCGTCCGCCATTACGCGATTCCCCGCCCTGGGACGCAGCCACACCCCGCCAACGGCCCTGATTGGCTCTCTGCCCCACCCTCCTGGGGCTTCCGGGCATTCCATTGGCCTGAGTGGAGTGCCAGTTAAATAGCTACGCAAAAGACGTACTCAAGGGTACCTTCTGGGGAGCTCCACCCGAGCTACTTCCGCAATCGGAGTAAACAGCCGGGGAGCAAACCAAGTGGAGTGGGGGTGGAGATTAAACTAAATCAACTCCTAAATTCCGGGTAGGAAAATCTCACTTAAGAAAGTGTAAAAACTCGTACAAAGTGTATTTAACGATGAGTTCTTATTGTCAGAGTTCAAAGAACCATGATTTTTGATGGAAGGAAGGGGACAAACCCATGAACTTTCAAAGGACACCCCTCAAGTTGCAGATAGTTTTGTCCCTTCCCTCCGGGTCTCAGGCCCCACCGAAAGTAGGAAGGGGAGAGTGAGTCATAGGCTCCAGCCGGCTGTTAAGAGATCCTTCCGGGGCGAGGCTTGGGGTCTTGGGACCGGCAGGTGGTTCTGAAAGGCAAGGGTCAGGTGAGCGGGACCCTGGTTCAGCCGCCAGCTCATTCTGCGACCTCAGACAACCCCGGGAACTTATCTGGGCCTCAGTTTGCCCTTCTGCAAAATAGAAACAGTCATGGCTGCCTCACGTCCTGGCGTTTGTTGACGAGGCATTCCAGAGATGGGCATATGTGCGTCTTGTTGATTATAAAAGGCTGCAGCTGGATAGCAATGTGACAAATTCACAAGTTAGCAAAACTTGTGATCTTTAGTTAACTAAAGATCTCCCATTTAGTTCTCTAGAGCAACTCTGTAAGGCAGATACTGTCCTCGTTTTGCAGAAGAGAAAACCAAGAACTCCATGACTTACCCAGGGTCATCCCCCGGGAATTGGAAACAACCCTGGGACTCAAACCTGTATCTTCTGTCTTCCATTTCTGTATTTCTTCTTCCAGGCCTGGTGTCCCCTGAGAAAGGCTTCCCTCCACCAACCCGTTAGCATTCCAGGGAGCGTTTTAAGGGTGCCAGGCGAGCCCCCCATCTCTCTGGTCACCATAGGCCCCAGCTGTTTCTAGGGAAGAACCAGGAGGTTGAGTAGGGGGTGGCAGGTGGGTCAGCAACCCAGAATCCCGGACAGGGACACAGAGGAGCAGTGATACCATTGTGAGCCCTCAGAAGGTCGGCCTCCACGCCAAGACTTAAATGCAGGTCTCTCTGCTCTCAGAACAGGGCTCTTTTCATTGCAGGATTGTTTTTCCCAGAAGGACTGCCTTGGCTGTAATTCCTAGTTCTTTTCCCTCTCTGGAAAGGAAGGAAGCCAATATGGGAGAGGGAGAGGAAGCAGCCTAAGACTTTAGAATGGCAGAGACCACCAAATGGGCGGTGCTGACAGAGCCTCAGTGCTGCTGAGTCAGTGACCTTGAGGTGCAAACTGAGACTTGTGGTCTGACAACCAATGACTATTTTTTAAGTTGTGACTGTGACCATTGGATGCTGGGAGGCAGCAGGTGCTGTACAGAAGTCAATGGCTTTGGGGCAGCCTGACCTGAGATTGAATCCAAGTTCCTCCACTTTCTAGCTCTCTGAGCCTCACTTTTGTCTTCTCTAAAATGCGGACAACAGACATCACTGCTAAAAAAAAATTATATATATATGTAAATCCACATCACTGCTAAAATATGTACTTAAATATGTAAATAAATAAACAGGAACAACAGGGCAGTTGTGAGGATTCAATGAGTTAATTGTGGAATTATTGAGTCATGTGTGTAAAGTACCTGGTAGCTGTCTATTCATTCATGGATTCATCTATTCAATAAAAAAATTAAGCACCAGGGCTCCTGACTGGCTCAGTAGGAAGAGCTGGCGACTCTTGATCTCCAGGTCAGTGAGTTCAAGCCCCATGTGGGACATAGAGCTTACTTAAAAAAAATGGGGTGCCTGGGTGGTTCAGTTGGTTGAGCATCCGACTTCGGCTCAGGTCATGATCTCACAGTTCCTGAGTTCGAGCCCCACATTGAGCTTGTTGCTGTCAGTGCGGAGCCTGCTTTGCATCCTCTGTCTGCTCCCCTCTCTGTCCCTCCCCCACTCCTACCCTCTCTCTCAAAACTAAGGAAAATATTTAAAAATTATTTTAAAAATTACTAAGCAGTGACCATGTATAGGCAGCCTACCAGTGGTGCCGCTGCAATGGTGGGCAGAACAGACAGACGAGGCCTCATGGAGCTTAGAGTTTAGTGAGGAAGTAAGTCATTAAATGACCAGACCAATCAAAATACAGTTAGAAACTGTGATAAGGAACAAGAAGGCAAAGTACAATGTGTTTATGAGGTAAATGTCGGGATGGGGTGGGGCCAGAGGAGGCCTTCTGAAGAGCTGATATCTCGGGTGAGTTGATGAATGGGGTTAACTAGGCAGCAGGTGGTTGGAAGAAGTGTTGCAGGTCAAGAGAAAGGGTGTGGAAGGCATCCAAGCCAACTGGGGTAGGTGGCAATGGGGAGGGAGGGCAGAGCTCATGCAGGGTCCTGAACCAGTGAAGTGTTACAGGGGAGAGAACCTGGCTTTGAAAGTGAGGCTGTTTTCTGAGGGCCTCTGTACTTTTCTGGTAGTCCCTGAATGCAAGCTTGGAGGCCAGCCCACCTGGGTTTGAACCCTGACTCTGCCATCTCACCTTGGGCTGTGTGACCTTGACCAGCCACCACACCTCTCTGTCTCATCTACTTTTCTAAGACATGGGGACAGTGATCAAGGGTCAAAGGGTAAGGGTAAGGATTCAATATGGAAATGTATATAGAGTTGTGGCACATAGAAGGTACTCCACAAAAGCTGCTTGGTCTTCCCAGAATGGAGGGAGGTGAGCCTGAGGCAGCAAATCCAGCAGATAAGTTTGGGAGAAAGCTGATACGAGGGCCTATACCCATTTTGGAAGACTTTGTAGCCAGGTGGGCCTGGATCAAATCACGGCTGTACCGCTTCTTAGCAGTGTGACCTTGAGCAAGTGACTTCACCTCTCTGAGCCTCAGTTTCCTGATCTGTAAAATCGAGATCATAACTGTTTTTATCTCCTAAAGCTGTGAAAGTTAAATGAAATAATAAATTGAAAGCATTTAGCACAGTGATTAGCGCATAGCAAGCAGCTTGAATGTTAACTTTAATAGTATTGTTGACTTTAGCAGTGATTTTATTAGTCATTTGATATAGCGATTGTTGTCAATATCCGCGTTACTACCTGTACTAAGTAAGATTCTGGAGCTTTGCTTAAGGTTGTCTGGCAATAGGAGGCATAACTTCTCCTTTTTAAAAAAAATTTTTTTTAATTTTTTTCTGAGAGAGAGAGAGATAGAGACAACATGAGCAGGGGAGGATCAGAGAGAGAGGGAGACACAGAATCTGAAGCAGGCTCCAGGCTCTGAGCTGTCAGCACAGAGCCCGGCGTGGGGCTTGAACCCACGAACCGTAAGATCATGACCTGAGCCGAAGTCGGACGCTTAACCGACTGAGCCACCCAGGCACCCCCATAGTTTCTCCTTTGAGGCAATGGATGTAGAGGATGGCGCGGAGCACTTTAATAGTAATATTCATAAGTGCTAACATTGCACATACCATTTATTATGTGTCAAACGTGTGTTAAGTGCTATACACGCATGAACCCATAAATCCTCATGGTAGTCCTATGAGTGAGGTCCTGTTATTACCATCATTTTACAAATGGGATAAAGGAAGTGTGGAGAGGTTAAATGACTTGCCCAAGGCCACCCAGTCAGGAAGCAGCATAGCTGGCATTTGAACCCAGCCTCTGAGAGGGCTTAACTGCTCTTGAGGGGCAAGCTCTCCCTTTTCTACCAAGGAGTCAGAGTTATCACCTGGAGGGATGAAATTATTCACTGCTGGTAACTAAATCCCCGGGTTGTGAAGGCCAAGTTCCTTTCCCACCAGTTCTGAAAAGTAACCCCTGCCTGTTTGTTCCTCGCCCCCTGAGGCAGATAAGAGCAGAGAGGGAACCCTCTTCCTCTGCAAGGGAAAAGCACAAAGACATTTAGAGTCACTAGAACTGGATCTGAGTCCCTACTTAATGGCTCTGCATTCTTGGCCAAGTCACACCCCGAGTCTGAGCCTCAGTTTCCTGATCTATGAAATAGGGATGATCACAGCTCTGCTACAGGCCTGTTGTGAGGAGCAGGAAAAAACAAGGCCTGCATAAACTATGAAGTGCTGGGAGCACAGGAGTGTCTCCCATTGTTGCCCTGGGGAAGGCAGCCTAGACCAGTAGAGCAGGCGAAACTGTGCCCTGCGTGATCTTGAGCAAGTTATAAAACCTGGCTGAGCCTCAGTTTTCTCATCTATAAAATGGAGTGAATACTATTGATTTTGTAGAGCTGGATAGAAAACACATTGAGGGAATGCATAAAAAGCCACGAACCAATTCCTGGTACAGAGCCAGCAGAGCACTGTGTCTTAAGGGATTCCAGGGGAAGAAAGAAAGCACAGGGACCATGAAGAATCACGGTGACCCCTCTTCACCACCCCTGTTTTAGGGGAAGAGGGTGGAAAGCACTGTGTTCAGAGCCCAGGACAGTCTCCAGCCACTACCCTACCTCTAGCATCTTCAGCTCTCGCTGGGTCCACCTCTCTCTCCTTTTCCTCCCTCCCCTCTCTTCAAACAAGTTCCTCTCCACTGAACAATCCCAGGGGGCCCTGAACCTCAGTTCCAGCCAAGCTCGCAGGCTTTCCCCGCCTCCACATCCTTAATGCACGGCCTTTGCATTTGCCATTCCTTCCACCTGGAATGCTCTCTCCTCCTGGAGCGCCTGTGATGGGGAAATGGGGGTGCTGGAGGGAAAGGATCTGGAATGATGCTCCCCTACCTCCTCACTCTCCTCCCCTACATCTCCCACGCTGCATGCCTGACCTCCCCCCTCCCAGCGTGGGGGATGAGGCAGCACCGGGAGGGGGAGGAAGAGGGGGAGGACTCAGTGAAGAGCC